TGGCGTCTGTTCATGCCTTGGGCTGAGTCGTAGTGCACAGCAGTGTTTGAGGCTGTATCTAACACTAACAGACTCCAGTGGGTTCCACCTCCATCATCCAGAGAGTTGTTTAAACAGAAGAAAACAAGTCGCTTGTTTTTAAAATCTAATTCAGATAGCACCGCTTCGACTTGTACCTTATTTTCTAGCTTTAGAATGTGTGTAACTGCTGCTCCCACAAACATTACATCTTTACGGTGGATAGAAATTTCAGAGTTAAACAAATTAAAATATGATGACAATAGATCGTCCGATAACCACTTAGTTTTGTCATCAATGTTAGCTTTCAGGTTGTTGAGAGTTTCAGACACATCGCAAAGTTTTGTTGCTAATTCGCTTGCTTCTAATGATTTTTTGTCAAGCAATTTCTTTAATCGACTGTTTTCTACAATGCATTTACTATTTGCGCATTGTAGCCTATCATAATCTTCGACAAGTATATCAAACTTAGATTGCAAGTCTCTATCTTTTATACTTTTACTTGAAACCTTTCTTAGGCTGTCATTCAAGTCATCTATCCTACTTTCCAGAGTTTGTTTTTCACTTATCAAACTATCATTTACAACCAAAGATTCATTTAATTTCAATCGAAAATTTCGCTTAGACTCATCCAGGAAGCCTTCCAACTCTTTTATTTTGGACTCGGCATCTTTTAATCTCTGATTGGTATCTAGATGCTCACCACATAGAACATTAAATTCCAAAACAACTTTTGCTGCCACATTAATAAGGTGATCAAAACAATTCAATTCACTATTAGCAACAAGCTTACTTAATTGGAGACAAAATTCAGAAATTAAACTTTCCGTTTCAGTACAAAAATTTGTACAACCAAGCATTAAATCGCCCGGTCCTTCCATAGAGAATTGTAGGCTAATGTAGTCAGATTGGGAAAGCGTGCGCACGGTTTACCAATGAAGTAGTAGCGCCTGCAATACCTGGGACCACCCTGCTCCGTCTGAGTGACGTGTTGGTTGCGTCTCTGAAAGTGTAGGCACTCCGTAAATACGGTGTCGGCGGCTCGACGACGGCAGTGGCAGGGAGCGGCGGCTGGGTAGAATTGCCTGTAACTGGTAATCCTGAACACGGCTGCGCGGCAATGATTGCGCAGTCGTAACAAACACGCTGCCGCAATGTCTTATCAGTCTCAGTTACAAGGTTATCAAAGCTTTAGGAAATAATAAAAGCAACTTACGGCACAGATTTATATCGTCCAAATTGATACTTAATAGTCCAAAGATAATATTAACACATACCAAGTTAAATCCATTAGTATTTTACCACTTAAAACTTAATTTTAAAACTCACTATAACAGATTGCTTCTTTTAAGGTAGATCATGTCTACCAACCTCTATTAATAATTAACTTAGACTTAGGCTATGTTATTAATGGTTTCTTAACAGACCCATGGAATTGAACACTGCTCAATCATCTGATCTCATCACAACATTACCGTACTAACGAGGACGCTTAACAACCTCAAATCTTTTTTCCATTGAATCAGTCACACTTGATGCATATGTTAACCACGCCCAGGATAATACTTGACTTAAGAGGGCCTTTTTTTGTTTTTTTTTTTGTCCTAGGACGCTAGGCACGAGCCTGGGATTGTTTTTCACATTAGATAAAATCCATTGGTGACTTGGCGGGGATCGAACCCGGGACCTCAGGGACTGAAGTCCCGCGCTCTAACCACTGCGCCAGCTTGCTCCCCAAGAGGGGCCTTAGGGCTGATATGAGTTTGAAAACTTGATTCTCACTACATTGACTATCAATATAAATCCAACAGTAGAATGTAGATATCAAAATCTGTTGTGATCCAGTATGATCTATAGGAGGTACACTGAAGTGGGTTTTATGTTGGGTCTACCAAATGAATTTTACCTATCAATATGAATTTTAAATCATATTATCTATGATTATTTCATTATTTTTTTATAGCGAATGAACCATGGCCAGACGATGTCAAGCTATTCCAGCCTTTTGAAACAGAACAGATTTTACTGCCGGATAATGCAAGCTCATTGGCAGTCCAAGCATTTCTTAGGATGTGCAATCTGCAATATGAAGTTGTTCAGAGACGAAATGCTGAAGAAATGTCACCCTCAGGTAACTTATGTAATTCTATGATCCAGCCAAGAGAATCTAATAGGTAGGTATTAAGTTTTCATCCAGTAAAGGTCATATTTAAATACCGTAATGTAAGTTACACTAACTGCACACCGTCATTCATCGATCCAGAGATCCAAATAAGATTATGTAGTGTTAATCTTCATAGGTTTTATGTAATTTTATACAATCATTTTGTATTATAACTGTCAACTTTGGTTGCAGGGCGAGTCCCGTTCATTAAATGTGGTGCTTTTCTGATATCTGAACTGGAACCTCTTATGAGCTTTCTTGAAAACAAGGTATAACCATTGACTATTGGATACAGAAGAAGACATCCCATCTATATGGATCAGCTGTCGCCAATTTTTTACTAAAAAATAATGTAGTTGTGTGAGCCAGTCACAGATTGCGCTAGTGTCTAAAACTCTATTTTGTACCTTATTTTTCGTTACGGTACTGACATAGTTGCTGGGTCACAACAGTTGCTATAGCTCATAATAAGTCATTCCATCAGTTTGACTTGGTAAAAACCATCATGTAATCGGCAGAAATCAGTAATTTAGATCAGCGCAATCTGTAGGTGGCTCACATCAACTAAGACAAATTTTATTAAAAAGCCTGGCTACAACTTTAACATGGGGATGGAATGTCTAGTTGTTGTATTTATAGTTGTAGTATTTAGCAGGGGGTTTCGTGTCTTAAATCGAGTAACATAAGTTAAATTTAACTTACTAAAAAATAGTATATTAAAAACTAAAGGTGTGCAGTAATAAAACAGGCCTGTGATGCTACCTGGGATTGAGAATGCTAGAAACTAAACACTCCCTATGAAATGAAATCAAGACAACACCTAATCAGAGAAATAGTGAACCTAAACCTACTTCTACTGTTATTAAATTATGATAGTTAAAATTTTTATTGTATAAATGCCTTGGAAGGCTAGACAGACCTAAGGCCTGATTGACATAGGCAGAATGCCAGAATATTAAAAGTAATTAAACTTTTCTGTGTAACCGCTTAGTTGGAAACAATAATATATTTGGATAAACCTACTAAAAAAAATTATCTCCTGTTTATTGGTCTAACTTAATATAATTTTTACAGATTTATTGTGCTATAGATTCAAATGTTATGTATCACAAGTTTGTGAAATTAGTTTTATTTTTATTTTGATGCCATTGATACCAACAAAAGATTTAGGCTAGAACAAAAATATTATTAAATCCTGCCATCCTACAGATTGAATTTAAATTATTTTCTTAAGTTGTTTACACATAGGCCACTACTAGGTTAAGTTTTCCTGTCTTTCTAAATAATAATAATTATTACTTTACTAATTATTTTTCTTCACTTTCAATAAAATAAATTCATGTATCTATCATAAAAATTAAAAAATCATAAGTAGTCAGGACCAGTGCAACCATGCGACCAGGGTATTTATGCCGATTATGCTTTATGCTCAGACCTGGGTATTTATGGCAATTATACCCAGAATTAAAGGATGCATTGCACGACGTCCAAGTGCCACGACGTCCAATAATATTTATTCAGTGCCACGACGTCCAAAAGTACAGTAACTGCCAAAAATATAGTCTTTCTACAAGATTTGGACGTCGTGACACTTGGACGTCGTGAAACAGCGCACTATAGAATTGTAAAAAAGTTACATTTGCGGGAGTGTTGCACGACGTCCAAAGTCGCTGCCAGTTGCACGACGTCCAAGTGCCACGACGTCCAATAAATATTTGACTGTTGCACGACGTCCAATATAGCTCAGCGCTGTTGCACGACGTCCAAGCTCCTTTATGATGACCGGTTACGATGACCGGCTACTTGCCGAATAGTGTTCTCTCGTGTAAAATGCTTATGGAACGTTTATTAGTTATATATACAATGGGTATATGTTCTTGTTCAGAAATATATATACTATGAATATTTGAACCATTAATTGAAACATCATAAAGTAAAAAAAACATAAAAAGAAAAAAATAAACAAGGCAACAGTTGGAAAACTATAAGGTTTACATGGTTTGAAAAATGATGACATTTTCTTAACAACCGATCAACTTCATTATGTTTGGAGTAAGCTTTTAAATACTTATTTTTTCAAGACTAGATGAATGTACATTGATCAACATGATCTTTGAAAACTATTTTTTATACCCTCATTTTAATTTTTACTAGTATAAAGAATAGAATGCCTTTTTCGAACTGTTTTTTAGGCTTCAATTAAATGTCTTTATGTAGCAAATATGTTTGTTAATAGTATTCACTTAACATTGACTTAATTTCATTTCAATAAATTTTGTGTTTGTGTTTTGCTACACCACTTATTAAATTGCAACCAATGAGAATCTATATAAATAAAATTGGTGTTTTGTCTGTACATTGCTCAGAATCATTCATTTGTAGGTTATTTTTACGTTTTATACATTAAAGAAGCCGAAACAAGTCTCATCTAATTTCTGTCTGTCTGTCTTCCTGTCTTTCTGTAACACTCAAGATGACATTTTACGCAATCTTCTCCAGGAAAACGAGAGTACCTATCAAGATCCAAGTCATTTTAATGTATTCACTGGATTGGCGATAGTGTCTTTAGCCATTAAAATATGGCCTCACTACTTAGTAAATAATATTACGGACTTTAAAAAATGCAGTTTTGTGCGATTTTTGTCAAGTTTTCGTCTAATTTTTATCACATAATGATCTATGAAATAACGAACAGCTGTTCGGATCAAGATTATTTTTTCTCGCTGTCACTGATATGTTTACAAATACCACAACCATTTCCGATCACGTTTTGAAGGCAAAGCCCATTTATCCAAGTGAGATTAAAATCGTTGTCTTACATAACAGATTTAATTAATCGCAAGTGGAATAATATAGTGAAACCGTAAATGAAATTTAATAACATCATCCAGGTTAGGAACCAGAGATTCTTTGTGTATAAAATTGTTCTTGAGTTTGATAACCTTGAATCAGTGTTGTATAGGGCTGGGAAACTTGAATTTATTAATGATCGTCGCCAATACCTTACTAACTCATTGACGGCGCTTCGATGGTGGTTGTGTAAGGTAAAAAATCACAACTGCAGTGGGTGATTGTAACAGAGGTTTACGGTTTATGGATGATGCTAAACTCGCTTTTCCAATGTGTCACTTTCTGTTCCTACTCACCGTATGATGCAATCGCTGGACCATACAGCCAGTAGGCCCATAGCCCATCTCTTGGGTACTTACGCCTACCCAATTATTCATAACAACCTTTTCGACGACAATCCTTGTTACCGGTACTTTTCCCTAGAATACACGGCCTCCCTACTTAAGAAATAAAATTACAAACGTCCAAAAACCCAGCATTGCATGATTTTTGTCACATTTCATTCTAATGTTAAAAGATATACCAATCATTGTTTAGAGAATAGGCCTGCGTAATCTATTAAATAACAAACAGTTGTTTTTATAAGGTTGTTTTTTTTTCAAACTGAATAAGTTTACATTAAAAGTTGTTTACGAATAAAGCAATTAATGGGAAATAATTTTGATTGCCGATAACTTTTCACGAGAAAATCCAAAACCAAGAAATCAATAACCTTGGGACTTGATTAACGAATTTAATTTGTCAGACGTAATTCTTAACTGTAAACGTTGGTTTTTGGTACTGGTTTTTTTCCTTAGAACCGTTGGTAGCAGCAAGAATCATTTTTACGTACCAACACATCACTGTAATTTACAAATTAGTTACCGTATCGTTGGTGTTGCACCTTATTTATACAGTGGTATTACAGCCTTATTCAATTTAATTGATGCCTTAACTGTATAAGTTTTGCTTTTTCTGTCTGGATTCCAAAATGTTAGTTTATGCTAAGAAAATGATAACTCATTTAAGTAAAACATTTGTTTAGCAAACCATCATGAATTGTTTACGATTTACGTTGTTTATGTATCAATAGTTCGTGGCCTATTTTGGTAATTTTTATTATAGGTAAATTACCATTACCAATCTAAATTGTCTATAGTACTTCATTTTATAAAGTAAGCCGTCGGCAGCATTTCGGGTCATCTTCGGTCCAAGCAAATATAAATTGTTATGATAAAATTTGATGACATTGACAAAGATTTCAAATTCTAATTTTATATGTACTTTGTTATGCTTAAAACGTAGCAAATTCCCTAATTAAGTTCTGTATTTTTGTGTGTATGTCTGTTGGTAACGCATTTATGTCCTTATTTCTCAGTGTCACGAAAAGGACAAGAGCACCTTGATAATGAAAATGTCAACCCGAATAAAGTGTTAAATGGTAAGGTTGAGGTAGTACTTTAAATGCCTTTAACCATTGTGGGAAGTAACTTTCAACTATAGGCCTTAGGGCTATGCCTCATAGATTTGTTTTGGCTTGAAACTGTCAGATACTGTATTTGCGAAGGTTTATATATAATAGTTTTGCCAGCATATCTGAAAATATGCAAACCAACTGCTTTTCTTAATATAAGAAGGTTTCAACTGACTACTTTAAGATCCCCGTGCGTAGAACGGGCACACAGCTAGTATCATATAAATAAGTTGCACACAGGGTTCTTTTGTTTCCCCAACTCTAAAATACAACGCACATGAATTGAAAATGTTATAGGTTTAATAGTACTGTAGCGAATCGAATATCAATAATGTTAACGTATAACAATAAATTTACATATTCCTAGATCATAATTGAATGTGTTTACGAAGGAACACCACAACCTCAAAATTCAACATTACAGTATATTTACTCAAGATTTATTGTTTTCATATAGCACAGTTGACGTTGCCAACTAGCGTGGGAGCGGAAGTCCTGATAAAGGCTGGTTCTCGGAAAAGTAATAAAATAATAAAATTGTAGTTTGAATGAAACATTTTTTTTATTTTGTACAGGATTCATGGGATCCTCAGCATCAAGTACAAACTGCAAAATGTGTGTCGAAGGTCTGATTAGACCTTCCGAGATTTAGACCTTCAGCAACTGATCCGTTTTTTACCTTCCTTTAATTTATTCTTTTTCATGTTGTGCTTCATGTAACATACATAGACTAGAGGGCCGCTCGTGCCCTTGACAAATAAATTAACATTTTCGCACTAATACAAATCAATATCGTCATTAGACAAGAATTAAAACATAAAATTTATAAATAAAACCTACCACGGCATATTCTTGAACAAGTATGCCTACAAACCTACGATAAGCATGTTTGTTATTATTATACTTAACCTACAAATGCTATGACTTAGGGCATACCTGTTTTCCTACATAAAACATGCGAACTAA